CGTTATTAAATTTGTCATTAAATATTAAAACGGAATTATATTAATATCACACCGAAAAAAATATCTCTGGCAATGCTTTCGGCGTTAACGTAGTCTTAGTACTGAGTAAAAATATCTTTCATTTATACATAGATACTTTTGATTGCGATAAAATCGATAACATATCAGGAATACATTCCGTTGCAATAATATTTGGCAACAGAACAGCTGTCAACAAAAACGATCAGTAAAATATTTATATCGATTACATCAATGCAATTTTCAGCAACATTTATACTAGTAGATTTATAAATAATATGATTCAGCAACAAATTTTATATTATTATATTTTGTCGCTGTATTTTATTGAAACTTCCATAAAAACTTGCTATTTGACATATATATGTATAATAATTTTTTTAATACTAAAAAATTGAAATATACGTTGTTTATTAGATATTAAATTTAATGACTGAATAATAACACGCGATTAGACCGTCGTGAGACAGGTTAGTTTTACCCTACTGATGACCAGTCATTGCGATAGTAATCCTGCTCAGTACGAGAGGAACCGCAGGTTCGGACATTTGGTTCACGCACTCGGTCGAGCGGCCAGTGGTGCGAAGCTACCATCCGTGGGATTATGCCTGAACGCCTCTAAGGCCGTATCCTCTCTAGTCAAAGATACAAATACTAGACATCGCACTTACAGAATTAAATAGCTGATTCTATAGTAAAATTAATTACGACGCTTGGAACATTTATATTGCCATACTTATCAGTTCAATTTTGAGTTAGAAAAATATAATAAAGAAACATCACACTTTTTATACAAAATAGTATTTTCATAAATTTAATTTAATGCATCTTGAATTTAGTTATAGCATGTGTTTAAAGAGAGATCGCACTTCAAACATTGCGATTTATTTTGTTTTTTAGAAAGAATGAGTAGCAAAACTGAAAATCTTAACAAATTTTGAGCTAATACAGTTGTGGTATACAGTTAGTAATCTGTTATGTATAAAAAGGATTTAGTTTCGACATTTTTACAATCACTGTGATTTTAATTTTTTGTATTACGTAACACATAAATTTTTTTATACATAAAAATCTTTCTTGAATTGTGATACAAATTATAAATCGTCTGAAGTTGGCTTAAACAACCACAATAATTGTTTATTTTATTTAACTTACCAGAACCGATGTTTTAATAACTTATAATACTTATTATTAGAAAATATAAACTTTCAGTACTTACCGTCCGTTACGTCGGAAGAATAATACGCCTATAATTCTTGCAATAAGGAAAATTACAGAATGTGCTGCGTCTCACCTCAATTCAAGATTCGATCGTGTAATGAGAATGCGAAATCCGTACACCTGAGAGACCCAATTAGTTGACGGAACCAAAATTTCTTTGTTGGCAATTTTGTTTTGTTGAATTAAATCAATTGATTTCTGCAAATGATTAGATTGTTTAGAGAAACCAACTTCTTTTGTTGGAAAGTATTTTGTTCCTTTAACAAATAATATCTAAATTTGTGTTGTTTGAAACAAAAATTATTGTTGTAGTTGCGATTCGTGGATAATTCATAGTAAAACAAGTTATTTTTCTCCGAATAACACAATAATTTACTTTGTTCGTTTAAACAAACAATCCGCGTATTAGGTTGTAGCCGAATTGGATCTTTTGTTCTTTGAACGAAATATTTGGTTCCACGTATAATTCTTCAAAATTATTTTGTTCTTCCAACAAAAGTGTTCGTTTGCTCATAGGTATAGAAACAAATAACTTATGGGGTGTCTACTAAAATTTGGTTATTCCAGCCAAATGGGTTTCTCAGTGCATCTTGAGCTTCTTACCTCGCGTTATTCGACTCTATGTAATGATAAACACACGTGCGACAATTGGATAATCAAACCGAATATTGTATTTCATTCGAATTCTGCAGTTTCTCTGACGTTTAGAAGAAGCGTCGACGTGAAAGGTGCTTTTATAAGCGACGAAGTAGAATAGATGCAAAACAAAATTTACATTTGACAATGCGATAACGTGCATGCTTAAGACACTATGTATATCAAACTACAACGAAGGCTGTTTTCGATCAAGATAATGTAATTTCTATTTTTATCGCGTCACGAGATATAATGCACGTATATATAACTTTATTTTTGCGATTATCTTCATCTTAATCACCTTCATCACACTTAATTGTAATGGTTTCCGGCAAAACACTGTTATGTTAATACTTCCTTCTCTCTCTTCTTTCTTGCGTACATCACGGACAGTAATTAATTTATATGAATTGATGATATAAGGCGATGATGTATGACGTTCCATCAATTACACAAATGTTTATCTTGGTTCTGTTTTGCAACATAAGATATTTTACCGTCGCGCGATCGTTTTCACACTGTTTATTTGAGTTAAATTAATTCCGGACTTTCTTAATATACTCGCCATTTTATTAAGATAAATGTTACTATTAATAAAAAAAAAACTAGTTTCTCAATGTAATATAAATGTCACATGTGTGACATTTATTTAATAAAATAATTGCAACGATTGTAATAATTGCGCGATTATCGTGACACAAGCTGACAAACATTGAAAATATTTTTGTTGTTGATGTAGTAAGAAAATATGCAAATTGTCATAATAACAAAGTAGATACAAAGAAATTTCACAATCCGTCCGAAAGTTACGCATAATTATTATAAAGTAGATATAAAGCACAATCCGTCCGAAAGTTACGCTTAATTATTATATCTAAAAAACAAAATTTTAACGCGCAAAAAATTATTTTAATCTACTCAAAATAAAATCCCGAGAAAAATATCGATTTTTGCTTTGTCATCTCGTTCGCGCATTATCTGTGTAGAATGCAATTGACTAGAGTGACTAGACAAAACATATAAAATGCATTTCAAACACGTCATTTGCAGATGATTCGCGGAAAAGTCATTTTGATTTATACGTGAAATAAAATTCTTAATAATTACGTTAAATAACATTCGATCCGCATTACGGCGGTTGTCCGCGATACGGCGAGCTTTCGGACTTTCAGTAATGCGCACTTATTATTGAACCATATTGCAAAAAACGGCTTTGCAATGTGGTTCAATAATAATGCAAAAAATCACGTAAATTTTAATAAAAAATAATTATTTTAGTGCAAAACATGCGTTATCACATGTGCGCAATGTTGGATAACTTTGCGCGTCAATAAAAAAATGAGCGTTTGTCGTACGAAAAAAATACAGGGGTTTTTTTTTGTTGTAAAATTTGTCCACAACAAGATGCGTATGATAAAATTCGTCTAAAATAAATGCTAAGGCCTAAAAACAGCGAAAAACTAAAACTATTCCAAAAAATCAAAATTTTTTGCTTACATAGCTACAAACTAAAGAAAAAGGGTCTAAAAAATTGGTTGCATCATGAGAAGTATTCTTTGTAGTTCTCAGATAATGTATGATTTTTGGGGGATTTTTAATTCCCTTTTAAATGACGGAAAAAATCACCGGCGCAATATAAAAAAAACGATGAAATTGAGAGTTTTCAAGATCCGAGTCTCGGACTTTGACGACGCATGCAAGCTAAACGACTGACTTGACGATAAATGTCGTTCGGATCATTATTGTAGATAATTTTACGCTCTACAAAAAAGGTACGTATAATTTAGTTACTTTATCTTGCTTAGTTTTCGAGATATTTGAGAAAAAATAAAAAAAATCGCGTTTTTTGTTGATAATATTGTTAATAACTTTTTATTGCGCGTTAATTTTGCGAAGCAAAATAAATCCCGCTTATAGCACCTCAAATCAAAGCGATTCATAATGGTTGCAACCTGGGAAGATTAATTGGAAGGTTTGATGTCTAATATGACTATAGCCTACACGGCATGCAGAGTATCTGTCTACAAACTTCGCTGTTTCTGATCTAATTTCTTTTTTCACATGTCGAGTAACAACGAATTAATAATTCTGTCTACGTTAACGAAGTTATAATACAACTATAGTAGAATTACTTGTGACAAAATTTCTTACTATATATAATTTTGTTGTCTACTTTTTCATATGTATAGGCAAGAAAAAAATAATGACTTTATTCATGTTAACGATGTAGCGTCATATGACGAGTTAGTCGCCGCTTAAGAGAGTTAAGCGAAATTGATTGAAATTACCCTCAGCGCTTTCGGTTCACAATGTTAGAAGCTCATTCCGCGTTCTTGGGCCAAGATAAAAGTTGCCGGAACCGCGGATGCATCGTGATTCGAGCAAAAATCTCGGATACAAATCTCGGACAAAGGCCGGTATTCATAGTCGGTTCTTATTTCAAGACCGTCTTAAGTAATGTCTTAAGATGCTAATACGGCTCTGTGATTGGTTCATGACGTCTTAAGATTGTACTTGAGATGGTCTTAAATATAAGAACCGACTATGAATACCGGCCAAAGTAACGTCTGATGCTCCGCATTCTCATACTAGTCGCTAAGTTCACATCGATTTAACGATTCTTTACTGCCAACCTTAGCGTTTCAGAAAAATACCGCGCTCAGATTAAATATAATTTTTAATTTACACTAAAAACTTTTTTTTTACTTATCGCGATATTTCTTTAAATCTTTCGATAAATATTATTTTGATATTTGCAATCAAGAATTCCAAAAAACTTAGAACAAATAGTATAATTAAATCGTTGCATTATCCAAATAAATTTTTTTGAATAAAATTTATTAATCGTAAATTGAACAATATAATAAAATTAAACAATTAATATTGCGTATTTATTTACACTTATAAAACAGACATACGCTACGATTGAAAATTCAAACGTATAGTCTAAGAGCTGACGACACTTTTGGCCAAGTAATTTTGTCAATTACAATTTTTCGTTTTAACCTGCGTGGACAACTCTCCTTCGATAATCCGAACACCTGGCTAGCCGTACCTGGGGGGGTTTAGAAGTACGCAGGTGAGAAAAAAAACAAATTTTCAAGTCATAGTATCGGATATTGATAATTGGTCATTCAGGAACATGCAAATAAATTGTCAGTTCGATTGCTCGGGGAATTAGTTGCCAGGCTTAATTATAAATAATTAAAAATAATTATTTCCAAGTCATACTATAAGAGCTGGTTTTTTTTTACTAACAAGTATAGTGCTAACACATGCCACCCAAAAGAATTCAAATGAAAATTTTGGTGGCAACATCTCTAAAAAAAATTATTGGAAATGCACAACGCCGGCGAAGGAGTCTGACGATGGCCGAGTAGAGGGGATAGCGTGCTATTCAGTGGGTTCGTTCCAATTCGTCATTATCGATGTCACTATCAATGTCACTCTCACATAAACCAGGGCCACCTTTTGAAAAACAATTGAGGCCATCGTCAGACCTCTAAGAAATAAACAAGGAATTAAATAAAGAAAATTAAAAATAAGAAATTGGTTCACAAAACGTCATTTCTCAACATGATAAAACTAATTCCTTGTTTACCTCGTAACGCGGCATATTACATACTATTTCCAGCACGTACATTTTATAACGTCAGAAATCTACATTTTGTAAGATTCCAAGAGTAGATCTAAATAACATCTCAAAAAGTGTTAAGTAATTATTGCAATTTATTATCTATATAATTAGCCAATTATTAACTAATCAATTTTTAACATCAAAAGAATTTCGCTTCCAGAAAATACATACGTTATTTTAATTTAAAAATGTTTGTTAATGTTTATTTTTATATTCCAGATGGTTTTGACTGAATATCTAACACTTATTATCGTGAAAGCTATATTTTGTTAGCATAAGATACTTCTTGTTTACAAAACGAGATCCCAGATACTTACAATAATAATGACGCATTATTTACGCTGATAAAAGTGTGATTGCGTTAATATGTGTTATTACTATCTCCATTTGATTTTCGTAATATTATTTCCATATGTAAGAATATATGCATTATATATAT